TGTTCTCCAGATTTGGAAGGAAAAAGTTTCATTAATAGTTCAGTGATGCTTCAGCTGCTCCAAAGGGTATTTTCAAGAGGAAGAACTGAAATTAACAGGAACATGAAATCTATATGCAGGTCACAAAATACAAAAAAAGACTGTTTCTAAGTCACAGTTTGCAATGCAGAATCTCAGTCTGGCTGTGATGCATCTGTGCAGCACTTCAGTGAAGTTTTCCTCTGCGAGCATTAACTTTGGCAATGACATTAAAAATCCCCTCTGAGATAACTTTGTAATGGGAACATTTTCATTCCCTTTAAAGCAGACCTGTAGCCATTTCTGAAATTCTAGTGAGGAACTTCTCCCTAAAAAGGAGTTTCCCTTATCTGTTGCAAATTTAGTGCTACTGAAACTCAGTAGCAGAGCTCCAAATTCCCTCAAGGCTTGCAATGGCTGCAGCCCCCTGCAATGCCAGCTCCAAACCGCACTAGCTGGAGATGCCATTCAGCACCTTGCTCAAAAAGGAGCCCTTACTTGTCAATAATTCTGTTTATTTATCCAGTATCTCTCCCTCAGCTATTCCAGCTATTCAGATCACCAGAAAAAAAGACAAAGTGCAAATTTCCTGCAATTCACGTAATATTTTATCACTTAAAGTATTTTTCATAGATGCATAAAAAATACTGGCCAATATTTACTAGATTGTAGCAACCACAAGATGATTACATCTGATGGCTGGGAACATTTCAGGCTGAAAAAACCCAAACTAGTATTGGCTGCAGAGAAGCTGAGAATATTCAGGGCTTGAACATGTGCAGTGTTTTTCTTCCTGACAGCTGAGCGCATCAGTAAGGGAAACCTTCACAATTTGGGTCCAGTAAGCAAAGCACAAACCCTTTTGCCTTTAGAGCAACGTTGAAGGTAAATTTGGGTTTTTTGTATTGACTTGTTCTAAAGGTTGCAGGCTGACACTGAGGAAGAGCAATGACTTCATGACAATGAAGCTGTCCTTCAGCAGATCCATAAAATGTAATTATTACACAATGAAAATGCCAGATTTCCTGGTGGTGCTCAGGGCTTCAGGGCCAGGTTGTGCTGGATCCTGCAGTGCTCAGCCCCCAAGCTATGCCCCTGCCAGGCTCTGCCTTCAGACCTGAACTCATCTCCTTTTATGCTAGTCAAGTATGTAAAAGGCATAATTATGGTCATGTAGTTCATCTCTAAAGAAAAAAGAAAGGCATAAAAGTGAAAAGTAATGCAGCAAGAAATTGGAGTAGATTTGAAGTGCTCATTCCCTCTTATTCTCCTCTGGCTTTCCTCACACACAATGCTTGGGAACACACAAAAAACAGATGCTCCAATCAACATTAATTGTTTGTTAGTGTGCCGCTAACTTTGAAGCCTTTTGCAACTCTATTCCTTCATTTTCAAGGAAGGAATTTGCATATTTGGCTGCCAGAATACCTCTCTTCTGGAGTCCTCTCATTTGCCTACCACTGTTGTGGACTTGTGACTTCCCTACCGACTTGCCCTAAAGGTGCAGTGCCCCAATTCCATCCCTAAGCTAACCAATAAATTGCAGAACTGTCACGTTTTCAGCTTGCAAGATATTTTGTAAAAGTCCTCAAAGAGTGCTTTTATTTTTTTTTTTAAGTAATTTATTTAAAGAGTACTTGAAAGCTGTCACTGTTACACAGTGTGTTCCCCTTCCTTGTATTTTGAGATCTGTGTGGGCATGTGACCTTGTGACTATTTGGTGTAAGTTTGCCACCACAGCTTCACAAAAGCTCTCCTGACTCCAGAGGACCTGAGAAGAGAATTTAAATCTCTGAAGGAGTTTGTTTCCCCCCATGAAACAGAACAACCAAAGCAAATTTTAAAGCCTCACGCAGCAACACTGCCTCCAAAAATGTCTCAAGCACACACTGAGCTGCCAGGTTAGGGAGATACTCAACAAAGCTAGAGACTGGGGTATCACTTCCTCATCTCTTTAATGGCTTTAGGGCAAAAACAAAAGAAAAAGGGTGACAAGCACTGGATTTCCTTTCTCTGCTGGACTAAGACCTCCTGATCATCAGACAAAGCCTGGACCTGTGCATCCATGGCTGACAGTATTTATTAGGCACTGCACCTCTCATATCCCTGAACCTCCAGTGTCCAACAGGACTGAAATCCTCAGCTTCCCACTGCTCCTGGGCATGATGGTCACCTCCTCCTCACTTCAGTAAGTCATGGAACAGCCAATCTCAGTTTTCTGAGTGCCTAACTTCTACTTCAAGTCACTTTTGGGAGGTAGAACACAAACTGGCTCTCTGACTGAGACATTCACTCCCATATAGCTAATAAGATGGCAAGTAAGAGTAGGATATTAAAAGGTTCTGACCTCTGAGAATCCAAACACTCTGGCTGCATTTCTGTCACCACTCACTCTGAACACAGGCAAGGATTCTTCACGTACCCCACAAACTCCCTGATGAACCAACTCCATCAGCACTGGACTCCTTGGACCCCTCTCTGCTTCCTGCACTGCAGGGACCGAGAGCCAAGCAGAGCTTTTCTCAGTGGAGCAAAGATTACTGAGCATGCTTTTGATGCTCATGTTTGGAGCAGAACTGGCCTGACCCTGGCAGAGATAAAGATTTCAGCCTATAAGACATGTAAAATTCTATTTCATAACTTCTCCAACCACAAGGCCTCCTGGCAGTGACAGACACCCCTAGATCCAGTCAGGAGGCATTTATGAGGGTCTGCAGCCCCCTTTTCCTCAGGGGGGCTTTTGGGGCTGGTTCTGCAGCATCACAGGGCTTACTGAGCTATGTAGGGTCTAACGGGTCTCACAATAACAGGACTAGGGAAAAAAATGTCAAGTACCAGAAAATTTACCTTCAACAGAGGTAATTTTTAAAAATTCTATCCCTACAGTGATGGGCAAGCAACCTTCAGACTGCCCAGAAAGCCACCCCTCCTGACTATCTCAATTTGCAGATTCTATCAGCACCCAGAGTATGTTTGTGTTTTGAAGCCTCTTGCAGCTCCATTCATTCCAGCAGCATCCTTCCCTGCAGGTAGCCTGAACACTTCCAAAATCCCTTACATTTCTCTTCCTATACCAACTTCCTCAGTGCCTTTTTTTCCTCTGCCCGTGTCAGCAGGACAATTCCTCTGCAAGGAAAAGCAGTTCAGCACACTTACAGCACATCAGCACAGACAACTTTACTGTTGAGTTCATATTGTTCAGGGAACAGTTGGGAACTTAAGTGGCTCCAGCTGGCTGGTGATTAAAAAGTTACATTAAAGATGGTAACCATCAGATGATGGTGGGAGATCCCTTCCAACTCTACTGTACTTGAGCAGCTGAGGGAGCAACCTGCAGTCACAAGGAGAAGTGAAAATGTCACACAGGTGACAGCTCTGAAACAGGCTGGGAAGGGAGGACAAGGTGGTGCCCACCACTGAGTAACAATGTCAGAGAAAATGTCAGCTTGCAGCTGCCACAGCCAGAGCAGCAGCACAGCCCAGCAGCTGCTCCACATCTTCTCTAGTGAACAGTTTATCAGTAGGACATGAGAATAATACTCACTAAGATCCAGGACACCAAGCCCTGTAACATATAATGACAGAGTTCAGCTGGGATCCAGTTATAAAAGGGAGGCAATTTCCAAAGCTCCTTGTCTTTCAGCATCACTGTGACAACCACCTACCCGTGGAAGGCCCTGTGCAAGGGAAGATGCTGATTACCAGGTATCCTGCAGACTGGGCTCTGACTGGAAGCTTTTCCAACATCCAGAACCACCCCTCCTCTGCCATTCCTTGGAAAATTACAATTTCTACCACACGTTTTTAATTAAGATTATAAACCTAGACTGACTTGAATGTATCTCCTGAGGTATCAATTTCAACAGTCTGAGGTGACCATTTTCACCGTGTAAAAACAAGTAACTCTTGGTAGGCCTTCATACAGGCTAGACTTAAAAACGTGCTCTTCTGAATGTGCAAATACATGTTGTATTATTGACAGTATTAATTCAACATACTACTTATCTCTCCCTGAAGACTCCCAGATCACATGTAAAAGAAGCCTCTGTCCCAAAACCATTCCATAAGACAAACAATTTAAGTGATCTTTAGCCTGTTCTTCAAGAACTGGCCCCAGATCTTCCATGATCACCGACTTTTCCCTTTTGACCTTCTCTCAATCACCTCCTGCCCAGCAATAGCCTACAGAATCAAGACAATTTACAGCCTCAAAATGAATTGTTAAAGTCTTCGGTAAAAAGCCAGTTTGGGAAAAACCTTCCTTGCTTCCCATCTTGTTTACCTACTGAAAATTGAGGACATCTTCTTGATTTCACATTTTCTTTGTATGACTAGATGTAGAAGACATTGCCAAGTAATATTTAGCACTGGAACTGAGCCCAATTAAACATTTTCAGAAGAGCCCATGGCAATCCCCACTTTGATCAACCACAGACCATCTCCCTACCTTTCAATACACAACTTCAAAAAGTAGTTACCGTCCACCTCTTGATGTCGAGGGACTGAGCTGGCAACACTGTTAGGACATTTAAATCAGAAATGTTTACACTTCGAGCCTGAACACTGCCCCAGGGGCATTTTAGAATCTAGTGATAATTTTATTTAAAAAAACCCAAGCCTTTATAACTCATTAAGGTTGGTGCCAAACTTGGCATTGGGACCAAGGTTTGCCAACAACAGCAGCAGTGAAGTACAGCTTCAGGATGTCAAGTCAAGGATATTTGAACAGCTTTGCTCAGTATTCTGCTGTAAGATAAATTGAGCAAAACTATCCTTAGTGCACAGAAATGTCTAATGATCTGCCATGGCAGGTTTGCTTTATTACCAGTATTGAAAGTAAGTCATGAACATAAAAGCAGCAAGAGAAGAAGTCAGACTGACTGCAATTACTTCCCCCTCAGTCTTTCCTTCTCCCTCCCACGTTCTCTGTGGATACAGAGACCAAAGTGTGTATATACCACGTGAGAATGTAAATCACATCATACATTTGAAATTAATTTTAATTTATGTACAGCAGTTACCATTCATGAATGTACACAGTCCCTGCAGTTACATTCTTGATAAGGTTAAGTCTTCACTGTTCTCTACTGGATCTTCTGATGGAGAAACAGAAAGGAGAGGTGGAATCAAGGAGTAAGGAATGATCACAGTCATTAAAAATGTGGGGATTTTGAGTAGTAAATCTCAGAGAGTTTTCTATGAGGTTCCAGAAATAAATGGTGGCAACGTGTATATATTGCAATTTTATTTCATTCGCTCAAACAAAACGTTAGCATGTAAGAAATTTAAAATGACACAATATGATAAAAATAGCAGAGAATGAACTGAGAAACTAAAAGAAGGTAAACCTAAATGCATGAAAAGTCAACATTCATTAGTGAACAGCTTCAGTCTTTGATTGACACTTGATAACTTTAAAACAACGAACTGGAAATCATTATGACTGTCTGAAGAGATTTCAGCACCAGCACTAAGGGTTTTACATTCAGTTGGTTTGCAGTTGACTCGGTAGCCACTTGTCTATAGTGCAGGTTTATCACAGGTCAGATCACAGTGTTGAGGAAAGCAACGCCCTCCTGGCATTAGGAAGGATCCCTTAAACTGCCCTCAGCTTAAGACATCCATTGTACAAAAGCACAGAACCACCACAATATGGTTTATAAAGGACTTAAGTCACCAGTAAGCAAAGCAATTGTAGCTTCTGCAGTTCATTTTCAATACTGAAATCTCTGGAAACGGTGAAACTGTCAGTAGGTCAGGAAATGTCTACAGTAATCTTTAATTCAATCTGATTTTCTGGAAAGAACCAGTTCTGCAGGTTGGGATTACAGAAAGTATGTACGTAGAAGCAGCACAAAAAGACAACATCTGTTCCTTTTTCTTTTAAACAGAAATCATGTTAATTGTAGACCAAGGCACAAAACGTTTAGTGCATAAGCCAGTTCCTTGCACAATCTAGAAGTTCAGCCTTTAATTTTGGACCACTTATAGCCATCCATGCTATTCCACTTTGTAACTCCTGAACCCTCCTAGAAACGAATCAAACATGATTTCTGACAAGGGTAAACATCCTCACTGCTCAAAAAGTCTGTGTAAAACAAAAAGCTACATCAACAAAGATGAAAATGCCTCCTCTTGTTTTGAGAAAAACAGTACTTGACAAGCTTACTATGGATTTTTTTCTTTTTAATGCCTTCAATAAATGCATGCAGAAAAGTGATGTTGTTTCTCCTCTTTATTAAAACAAAACAAAACAAAACAACAAAAGAAAAGGAGTTGGGCAATATTTCCACTGTCATCTTCCCTTAGAATCTGAACCTATAAGATCAGGCAATGTTTGAATGGGAGAAAAATTTCCTGTTGAAGCCTTTCTGAAGCTGTTAAGTGCTGTTTTGCTTTGGTGTTCAGCACTCTAGACAGTCTGCTATTGAAAGCATCTGTGTCATGAATGGAGCTGCCTGTACTTGTAAGCAAATCTCTCCACAAGCTGCAAGTAAACTTTTCTTCTGGATTAGCACAGATTCCAAAGCAAAGACAGCTTGGAAAAATGGACAGTGCAAAGGAAAAGGGAAGATTTTGATCCATACTCCTTGCCCAAAGCACTACAGAGCCAATTTGCAGAATTTCTATTCCACTGAACTTTACCACATTAAAAAACAAAACTATAAAAATAAAAAAATTTACACTCAAGATTGAAAACCCTGGGAAAGAGAGAGGTATCACCTCCCCTAAAAATGATTCTCAAATTGTTGAGCAAAACCAATAGCATATCATTGCTGGTTTTCTCAGGGTTTGTCATGTGGAGCTGTGGGATTTTTTGTTGGTTTTGAGGTTTTTTTTGGAAAGGAGGGTGGCAGATAAATCAGGAGGAGAAGGGGCCATTTACTGTGACCTGATCGTTCTCAGGTAACTACTGCTGTTCTGTTTCATTAAACAACCGAAAAAAAAAGGAGTCTCAGAAAAGAGTGAAGCAGAGTCATGGTGAAAAGGTGAAGGACAACGCACTTACACAGGGCATCCTCAGCAAGTCAGATGCCTACAACGTTTTTCTCTCACTGAGAAACAAGTTCGGTTCACCTGGGAGTTTCAGAACAATTATTGGAAGTTATTACTGAATTTCAAATAGAAAACTGAAAAAAGATACAAAAGGATCAAGTACCTGGTTCCATTAACATGGTTACTGATAAAAGTCATGTTTTCCTCATTATTACACATGCATGTAAGATGAAGAAAAAGTGTAGAAAGTAATAAAAATGTGTCACCTTCCCCCTCCCTCTTCCCACATCTTTCTGGGCATAAATTAAGCCTTACAAATGAAAAGGCTACTCTGTGACATGCAATTTTTCTTTTAATTAAAAAGCTGGCTGTGTTGTGTTACATTACAAAATGTCCACATGCATAAATCTAAAAAAAGCCCCAAAATCTACTGTAAATCTACAACATACTAATGATTTACATTTGACTGCTGATTCGCTTTATGTCGAAGTCTTAGATTTGGTAAAGCATCGTAACAATGTAGGAAGGCATCTACATCTTTAAACTCTGGACTGTATTTGCTTTTTTTTCTTTTTATTTTCCTAGAAAATTGCATGAAGGCTAACTAGAGAGGCTTCCTATCATAAAATTCCAAAATCTTGATATGTCATCACCGTCTAGGTCACCCTTACTTACAAATATTGCCCTTTAAAAGCACGCGTCTCTAATTGTTCCTTGTCTTGTGAACCGAACCTCTACACATCTGATCTCTTAAATTACTCATGGAAATATCAGATATGATAGGAAGACAAACCTGAGATACATTTGAAGTACAACAGTATAACTTGCTAACTCCTTCATTAATAAAGAAAACCTCTCTGAAAAGCCTTCCCAAGCTTTTCCCTGTTTTTTTTTTTGTCTTAACAACAAATTCTGAAACATGTGCAATTTTATCTTGACATGAGTAGACTTCAAAGCACTGTGATCTTGTCTGATAGATGTAGGAATTTCTGCATAATCATTACAGTAACTTTAAGAGTCTTTTCCACCCTGCTGTAAAGGTCAGAAAAAAGCTGCAAACTAGGAGGGGAATAGCATTATCACCAGAGTGATGTGTCTGAAGCTTTTTCAGAATAGGTTGTTTCTCCCTCCTTCCAAGTGTCTGTCTGTCTGTCTCCATTTTCTTCTAACAGCTCACAAAACGTAGTCAGTTTTATATCAAGTTAAAGAGTCACATCAGCTTAGTACGAGTCTTTCTATGCAGTATTGGACTTGCTGAGTTCCTGCCTGATAGCTGCAGAGAGACAGAGACAGAGTTAGCAAATCATATAAAGTCAGGGCAGGAAGCTGGAACACACAACTGACCCCTCAAAGCAGGCTCACCCTGCTCTCACAGCATGAATAACCAACACCTAAGCAGCCCCACGTGGCTTCAGACAAGTGGCATTATCAACCAGGCACTGCCTTTTTTCTTCCTGTAAAATTTATGTTAAAATCTTGATTTTTAGATCCCACCTTCATCAAGACAGTAAATCATACACAGAGTTTTATTTAATTCCTGACAGGTGGACCTTTAAGATTATGCTTTCTCAGTTATTTCCCTTAAGTACAGAAGTATTTTCCCAGTAGTCTTCTGTTAAAATAAAAATGAGAACTGTGAGAATTCTATTCTTTGACTCTTATGTTACAGATCAAAGAGGTAACTGAAAGCTGGAAGCACAGTTCTCCTTCTAATATTACTAGTTTTGAAATAGGTACCTCAGCAGCTCTGGATTATTTAAAAATAACCCACCCACCATCACATGATATTAAGGATAATGTCAGATCATTCAAATACAGCATTACTTCAACCACTCTTAAAAGACACATTAGTGTCAATGTGCCTACAACACAAAATGTGTCTACTACAGCAAAACTCCCAGGAGAGAAATTACTGAAGTACATCAATTGGAACAGGTGTGGCACCAGTGGTTTGCCACCAGACGAAGAACAAAGCTACTTCTACCAATAAATCACTCTCAGGCTACCAACACACTGTACTGCTATTTTAAAGCACCTGCAGCTACTCTAGAACTGAGCAGCAGCAGTGAACAGAGCAATACTTACCATCAATGAGTTCTTCCTTTAATTTCGTTAACTCCTTCCTCATTTCATCTAAAATGTCCTAAAATGTATCAGAGCAGAAAATAACAGATTAGCAAACAGATTCGTTTTATGACCTGTAAATTTCTGAGGAGACAAATCCAGAATTCTCCCACTACAAACCTTCCCATTAATCCTTAACCATTCTGAGATACAGAACCTGTCTCTCAGCTTCCAAGTTAATTCTTAAAACCTAAGGCATAGAAAATTTTTAGTGCAGTACAATGCAGAAAAAACACTCTAGAAGTGCCACAAATTGATTCCTGTAGAATTTATGAGAGGAGAAGGGATAAGAATTGAGAAAGCTTTGCTACAGGTGAAATGTGATGTGGAAAAGGAAAGAGCCCACTAAACACCACAAGCCAAGGAAGTATTCCAAGAAAAAAAGGGTAATCAAGATTTCAAGGTCCCAGTCCCAGTGGAATGTGATGGAATGAAGGCAACAGAGTGAAGTGCTGTCCCTGCTTGCTGTTTTTTTCCATCCTTTCCTCTAAGCTCCTCCAGAAGCACTCACCAGCCCTCCAGAACCTCTAGAACTACCAGTTGAGCCAGGACCCAGTCCAGAGCCAACCAAAACTGATCCATAACCCAACCTAAAGCCAACCACTACATGGAGACACAGTCTAGAAGCAACTAAAAACTCCTACCAAAGTAGAAGTGGCTCTAGAATTACCCACTGAGCTGCAGCCTGCACCAGAATCTCCCCCCCATTTGGGGATGGACCCATTGATCCAAACACTGGAGATCCTTCACCTCCAGCTCCCCAAGTCCCACAGGATTCCTCTGCTCTTGAACTGGAGAGCTACACAAAAAACAGCATCCCTGGATGCTCTTCTACCACCAAACTTGTGACCATGGGTGCTCACACCTGATATTAATACATGGTGATATTTGTTCTGCTAGAGCTGCCCCGAGGGCTTGCTGCTTGTTTGGAAAGAGAAGGAAAGGTTTTCCAAGCAAACTGATTTCCCAGTTCCATGTGTAATGTCAGCACCATCCTGTGTGTGCTGCCTAATACAAAAGCAGGAACTTTGTGAGGAACTCATGGGGCTGTCTAAGCCACCATCCTACAGCTCCAGCTCCTAAGAATACTGACACACGCCTGGGCAAAAATAAAGACTAGTATTACTAAATCCTTAACTTTTGAAGTGGCTAACAAAACAGTTAAAAATTGGTATTGGACAGCTGCAAGTCCTTACATCCAACTTACAAAGCAACCTTTGTTAAAGGATTGTACACATACCTGCTTCAATCTGTCATAATCTAGACCTTCTGACTGTACGCCGTTGGCACTGGGCTGTCCCGTTGGTGTAGATTTTGGTCTGCAGCACAAAAACACAGCCATGAGTTACTGGTTGCTCATTATTACAGGATACATAGGACTCCCCCATCAAAATTGTTGACATTTTTCTAACAAAAACATAGTAAAAAAAATCAGAATGGAAAAGAAAAAAATGTTGGGAGTGGGAAGATGGGAAAAAATCAAGCAGACCCAAAATACCACACAGAATAGAAAGCAACACCCAAGAATGTTTTCCACACACTGGAAATATTAATTACCATAAGAGTTATTAGTTCAAAACAAGAACTTTCAAAGCAGCAGACAGATTTCACTGTCAGTGGTTTCTGATTTCTTCATAACGGCCATGAGAAGCTGAATGCCTTCAAATGTCAAGTACTTTCCTTTTTCTACTGCGTGCTCATTCAAAAGAGGCTCTCCCAAGGAAGCACTCCCACTAACTAAGGACTGCATGTTGATGCTGACTGTATGAATGCTGAGCAATCTCCCTGGGAGATTTTCAACAGCTGACAGACCCAAGCAATGTTATCCAACTCCTCTGCAATCTCAATTATTCCATCAGTTGCTTTCTAAAGCCGCTGGAAACAAATACTGTAACAGCAGCAAGATTTATCAGGTGATATTTGACAAGAAGTTCTCATGTTTTGGACTATATCACATTTGATGTTTGCTTATGAAATACTCTTTTAGACATCAAAAACTTGCTTACCCAGATCACCTTGCATTTTTAATAGATTCCAAAAGAAGGGGGTTTCCTGCCTTTCCACTTCTCTTTCCTCATCCCTTTTTTCATTCAAGGGGTAACTCAGACTCATGGACTTACTAAAGCTATGAGCAGAGACAGAGCCTGGAGAACTCTTGGTATTCTTGCTGTGAACATCCAAAGAGGGAGGAATGTTCTGCTGTCCTTAAATACATTTTACATCTTGGCCAGCATTCTCCCTCCCTTACCTAAAAAACTTCAAGCCAAGAAGAAGCTGTTGATAAAATTCCTGACAATTCATCTCAGGAGGTTTTCCTGATGTTTAGAATTATCACAGTATGCTAACTTCAAGGAAGGGCAGGGTACAAAGCAGACTAAGCTGGGTCCTATTTAACTGCCCTTGTATGTAGCATCACTGAACAAAATGACCTGGCATACACTCAGTGTGTCCCTCCAAAATTCCTACACAGGAGAAATTTATTTAGCACTGCATTTTTCTGCATTTGTTACATGAGGGTGCAGACTGATTTACTGCAATGAAGGTGGACAGGAACAAAAAAAATACTTTGTTTCTTCGTTTGCTTTACCAATTCACTACCTTGAGCTTTCATGCATCTTCCTTTGCAAGACAGGAGTTTATCCATAAGGAAATTATCCTATTACACTGGTTTTGTTCAGTAAGAGCTGAATGAACCTCACACTAGATTGCCTTGTTGACTTTTACAACCTAATGGGACTATGTTCTGACTTGCTAACTGAAGAAGAACACTCAAAATGTGACTCCCAACAGAAAAGGGAGTCACGTCAAAATGTTGGTTTGATACTTGTTCTTCCCTTGGGATCACAAACTTCAATTGTCACAGCTGTAAAACTTAAGTCCACACAGTTTAAGTTCCCAGAGAGAAACTGCTAAATGAAACACACCAAAATTAAACACACAATCCGAGTAAGAAAAGAAGATGAAATATTGAATAACTTGACAGTGAAAGAAGCTGGAAAACAGAATTCACCTTGCAACCACCAGAGAACTATTGTGTGCACGAATGCTATGAAGGCAAACCACAGTTCAGGATCTTTTACAAAACTCTCTACGTGGTACAGTGCTTAGTTCAGTATGGAAGAATTCCTTGCTCAAAAACGTTCATCAGCTGAGATCTTTGGCAATTGCTGTTTCATCAGGTACCTGGTATTTAAAGAGTTACTTGCACTTTATACCTGAAATTGCAAGTCCTGACTTACTCTATGCAGAACAGCTGAGTTTTTCAGACAGTTCATACATAGTTTCTGGTAATTTCCATTGACAATAGTTCTGTTCCCATACACTATGGCATGACAGCATTTATCCAACATGACTGAAGAAAATCCTCTTAAATGCAGCTCCTGGCAATTGGTAACAGGCAGCTAGTGCCTGCCTTAATGGAAGAAAAATCAACCAATAGTATACTTTAATTTTTTTTTTTAATTACTTAAAAGTTTAATGTATTAGTAAGATGACTTCAAAGAAAACCTTTACACAAACTGACTTGTTTCTTTTTCTTCTTATCTTTAGAACAAAAATTTAGTTTTACCCACCATAACTATCTACTAGTGCTATCTGTAAAAAATCTCCACAGGAAAGCTGCTCTATGAACGCTGCCTCTCAACCTTGACAATGTGCTCCCTATTTACTTTCCAAAATGCAAGACGTTCTTAATTCAAATACTGAAATACCATCATTAGCAAAATAGATGATTTCTAATCTCAGGAAAATCTAGCTGTGCTCCTCCTCATAATAAAAAATTATGCTAATCTTTTTGCCTTTTTCAGGCTGAATGCAGTTGTCATTTAGGAAAACATTGACTACTGAAATATAGTGAATAAAAACTTCCCAGCCATTCGATCCCAACGTGGCTAAAGAGCTCTCCCGTGTGGTTTTTCATAGCATTGCCTAACAGGACAGAGGCAACCCTGACAGTCCCTAACACACCTTCAATCAAGCATGCAAAGGAAAGATTTTATTCATGCCAACATGCAGAATACACCACCCAAGATAAGTAGCTAAAAGGGGAACTTTTCATACAAAACGATTAAGTAATCACCACAACGAGTGCTTTCATGGAAAACAAAGCTGGAATTTGACTCAGTAATTCTGAGGGGCTCTGGAACACATTTACCTCTGGAAAGCTCTCAAAACCTGAAGGGTTTCAGTGTCAGTACTTTATGACCACTAGAGAGCGAAACTTAGATCTTCAGCAAAAAAATCCACATGATGTCAACTAACTTGTGAATATGTTCCAAACAGTAACATTAATTTATGTTTAAAAAGTCTTTAATCAAAAAGCAGATGTGAAAACACACCTAGAAAATTAATTCCTGTTTCTCTGTATCTAAACTCACAGTTTTGAAAAACTGCTTCTTAAAACACTGCAAATGGTCCACTAAATCCTGGCATATTCAGCAGGAATTTGTACCTTTGCAGGTGAAGACTGCCAGAAAACCAGTATTTTATATGAATTCATACCTGGTTCTTAAAGCCATCTCAGCTTGCCTTTGACACCATCTGCTTTTAACCAGACCAAAAGTGGGCTCAACTGGACAAACAATATGTGGAGGAGGAAGCTGGTGGTGCATGTGGTGATTACTAACCCATGTAGAAAAAGTCCAACCCTGAACTGGTCAAAGGGATTGTTAGGGAGTCTCAAATCCCAACAGGATGATACCTGTTTAATGAATCATAGAACCTGTTTTCAGAAGCAAGCAGATTTTTCCATGGAGATTCCCGTCTACTAGGGGGAGAAACACTACCTTTAAAAGCTATAATAGGTCTTCATTTTGTTCAGTTTTAGCACCTTAAACACCATGGGATTTCAGCAGATTCAAGAGTTCTACATGCATGTTTCAGGAAATATTAAAAGCCCACAGCTCAAGTCTTTTCTGTTTGCTACAAAAAGGAAAGGCCTGATTTTAGACAGGACACTAACTTGTTTTAAAATATTTATTCATTCTGCATAACTTGTCTTGCTGACTTGCCAGTTTCTTAAGTGTGCTTTGCTTAATCCCTGTCAGTGACTCACATCCTCCCTGCAGAGGTCAGGAGCAGGCTCTTCAGCCCTAGCAGGTGGAAGAAATCCCCTCCTGGCAAACACAGTATTATTGCTTCAAACAGCAGCTCCCCTTGACTAACTCACTCAAACAAAGCTACTTTAACAAGCTGCTTGCTGAGAGACTTGGCAAGTTGGCAAAGGTAGAGAATTAGGAAAATACAAGGATATTCAAGAGAGACTTCTTCTAACACCTTCTCTTTCCATGAATTTTTCCTCATCCTGGCAGAGCAAGCTGTCAACACTGCCTAGAAAATTGTTATCAGCAGGCCTAAAGTATGTGCTATGGCACCTTCCAGCAGGTTATGACAGCACTGGAAAAGAATACTGATGTTAAATAAACCCAGAATTTTTATTTTGGAAGTACTTTTAGAGTATATAACCAGGGAAGCTCACATCAAGTTAAATTCTATCAGTGCATTTTCCACTGGATGAATGAAGACAAAAGCATGATGGAGAGAGTGCCAATATAGAACTAAGAGAAATCAGAAATCTCAAAAATCTTCTGTATTCCTCTAGGTCAGAAAATATTTTTAAACACACCTCAGCAACCTCTGAATTTTCACCAGCTGGAAAAAGATCAGAGAAACTGGATGCATGAAACAGTTTACAAGAACCTGCTGCTGTAGGGGCAGGTAGAATGAAGACTTCAGAACATTCCAGACTCCCCAAAAGAGTCAGATAGCAAGAGCTGCCCTGCTTATTAATCCCTTTACCCTATGGATAAGCAATTTGAGGAAAGTATCCACAGCCAAAGGGCCAGATCAGCAACTGTCTTACACAATATGAACTCTAACATGCTCTTGAGGATTCCTTACACCAATTATTTCTGTTCCCCTGCAACGCCACATTTTGAAGCAGATCAAGGTAACAGCACAAGAGATCTTGGTTTAAGCAGGTCAGACCTACTGGGGAGGAGGGGGAAGAGGGCAGGGGAAAGTCAAGGCCAAGGGTGATGCAGTATTTTTTTTACACTGGAGTGTAGCAGAGAGAACATCATCACCAATGGCACCTGCTTTTAGAAAAAACAAAACAAGCGACCAGAACCAAGGCTGCAGACACCTGAAACTCCAGAATGTATTCTAAACGAGAGAAAGATACTGAGAATGTTCAATGTTGCATTTTAGGACTGAAGACCTCAAGGGCAACCTCAACTACGAGTGAGGCCACTCAGAGAACAATTGTTTTTAATACTCTGATCATCTGTAACTGTTTCCAACAGCCAAATTTTAAGGAGAATTCAAGTAATTTCAAACACAGCATTCCTAAGTTGAACATGTTCTTTTGTTTTCTCTCAAGAAATTCCAGTAACTTTCTCAGATTTTCAGGGGTCAGAACCCTTTAGCCTCTGTGTACACAACACACAGGAATTCTTAATGAACCAAAAGTCTTCTGCTTAAAGTAAATAACAATTAAACATACCTCCAAAAAAAAAAAAAAAAATCACTAAAGCAGCCATTTCACTTACTGAAATGCCTTCCAGAACAATCCTTGCCTACCAAAGTTCCAGCTGACAAGTTACCAAAGACTGGTTGATGCACTGAAGGATGTTAAATATTTCTACACTTCTTTAGGATGGACTTTCTTAAATTGATACAAGAACTACTGAAAATTGTCACAGAATCAAAGCTTACCAAGATGGCTTAAATATCCACGTAGGCATTCTATGAGTAGCAGAGAAATAGAAAGAGCACCTATTCTCTAGATTTACTACTGAATATGTGAACTGCAGCACTGAATTTAGTTTCACCTTGCAGGAAATTTCAGACTTAAAATAAAGAATTAAACACTGCTGTAGGCAAATATACACCTTACTAATTCAGGTTATACACCAGCAATTGTTAAAGAAACTTTTTTGGGTACTACTTTTGATTTTACTGTCAAAATTTTCACTTATTAACATTCTCCAGAAGTATCTCTTCATTCCTACTTAAAACTGCTAAAAGCAGTTTCACAGCAGCCATTTTAAACCCATACTTTTTGCTTTTAACAGTATCAAGATGATCTTTACTATTCTAGTCCAGTATCTTCAGCAGCATGTGCAGCAAGAACAAATGTAAGGAAAAGACAGCTGGTGCAAAAGGGGAGTACCTGGAAATAACAGGTGACTTGCTTCCATTCACTGTATTTGTCCTTTCCCAAGGCTTTCTTGTTAGTTCTGGAAAACAGAGTGGAGAGATCAAAAATTGTCTTTTTCTATTTACTGTGTAATTTATGTAAGGAAACTTCAAGCATCTGGCAACTCAAGGCAGCTGCTGGGTGTTTTTACTACACTGCTTTAGCTCTTTCATATTAAGCTACCTCCTGTAATAGTCACCTCTGAAGGCATCTAGTGAGAGCATCTTAAAGTCTCACTGGTTTCCCAGACACTGTAAATGCCACTTGATTCTTAATCCACCTGGAAGAAGGTCTGCCTATACTTTATGTATTGGATTGCCTCAGTTGTGAAACATGGAATTCTGTAACCAGTCAGCATCAAATACTTGAGGAAGAGGTTTTTAAGCTAAAGGAGTTTTCCTAAACTGTTAATGATAGAGAAGTATTCAGTACCAGTTTCAGTGATGTGCCAGCAGACACAACCTGGCATAACTAGAATATCTTTCAGCAAGAAGAAAGAAGGTGGTTCATTCCTTACAATCTGCACAAGTTAAAACAGCCTTTCTGGAGTGTGGATTGCTATTACTTGCTATCATTACTTACTTAGGACTTGAGTGTGCCACTGATCTTACCAGTCTTCATTTCAGATTTGGAGTTTGTTTGGTCTGCTCCCTTTCTTTCATATTGCTTAGCTCTGCTAAGCTGGGCAAGCAGAGAAGCAGAAAGGACCTTTCTGCTTCTCATATTGACCAGAAAATTCCTGAGATGCAGTGGGATACTGTGAATATCTAAATTCCAGAAGTCTGCATGCATAGTCTGTAACCCAGCCAAGTTCAGGCTACTTATGCTAGAAATAAGCCTTAAACTTAATTTTATACATCAGTCTTCAGGACTTGTCCTGCCATAGGAGTTATTTCAGCAGGACTTTAGCTGTATCTGCAAAACTGAGAAACTTCTGCTATGACTGCAGTTTGGTCAAGGATGCCAAGCATTCCTCTTAAAACACTGTAAAGGCCTGTTCCAGTGATGAGGCTCAGCATTACCAGAGCATCTCACGGCAAGAAACGAAGAAAATTTCTCAGCTGGAATGGTCAAATTCTAAATGCATTTCACATTTTCAACAGGTTTGATGAGACTTCTTATCACCACCAATTAAAGGAACCACTTCCACTTGTTTAAATTTCCTTCTTTTTGGGCCTGTATTATCAGAAGTGCTCCAAAAGCACTCATTTTCCTAAGGCCTGTTTAACAGAATGAAGCAGACTCTCTTAAAAGAAGAGGAAAAAAAGGGAGGTGTGTGTGAAAACTTGATTTGTGTGATGTCATTTATTTCCTTGCAGCCTGACTTCTCCAGATGAGTGCCTGTATATCAATACTAAGTTTGCCAGTTATTTCCATCTGGACACACAACTCCTAGCACTCCTTTTTATTCCCCAGCCAGGTGTCACCTGGGTTTTGTTCACACTACTGGAGTGGTTTTCAATATTAAGGCTTGCACATCATCAAATGGTTGAATCATCTAGAGGAGAAGTGTACACATGGGCAAACAATCAGCAGAGGAAGCTGGAATAGACTGGATGCTGGTATATTCATGATGCACTTACTTCCCTTCTGCTTCCACTGCTTTTTGGGATGACAAACTGCAGGCTTATATGGCACAGCCTCTCCCTTTTGCAGGTGTCTCTTGAGAGATGATAATTTAAAATATGAATGCATGTGCATGCTGACAATACCTCTTGGCCAACTGCAGAATGTCTAAGTTTTCCTTACTGACTGCAGCAGAGGTGTTGGCTACACAGCTCCAAATATTGCCTCTTCAGCACAGGGATCATGGGCAAACAATTTCAACACTCTGCACTTATATACTTTATTCACTTATGTTCTTTTTATCCATCATCTTCTGAACCAGGACCCATTCTACAGCAAAATCCCAGGCTGTAATCATGGGAAAAGAGGTAGGCTCCAAAATTCAGCAGACCTGACTGAGATTTGTCACTAGATTTTTATCATTACAGAGTCCCAGAGTTCACAAACCTGAGCTACTTACCAGGTGTGCTTGTTGAAGAAACCTTAGAAGATGAAGACTCTGATTCTTCCTGATAAAAAGAGAGACCAGAGGGAATACAGAGAGAGGAGGGAGGGAGAAAAAAAAAGTCTTTATAATCTGTTAGATTCACAAGAGTAAATCTCAACTGTTTAAGTATTTCAGTTCTGCCCAACTGTATATAGAAAATGAGCAAGCACTTCACAAAGTACTGATTATTTGTGTGTATATTGATACAATAAAGTATAAATAATCTTGTGTACACCACTGGAATCTCTCTGATAGCCCCTGTATTAAGTAATATGAATTAGATAAATTTCTCAACTCACAGCCTTATCTTCTTTTTGCTCTGGTTCTGTTGATCCCTTTTCAGCAATTCTTCTCCTGTAAGCAGAGACAAAAGTTACCAAGCTCATCATGGCTTTAAGATGGAAGAATGTTGTTTACTGCAATTAAGGACTTATATAGCCTCATGAAAATTAGTGTTTTAAGAAACACTTTCAAAACACCTTCAAAGGCAAAGCCCTCCTGCCAAAGCAACTGTGCAACTTGAAGTCTCTATGCCCTCCTCTACTGCTGCACAAAGGCTTACACAGAAGTACTGGATTACACTCAAATAAAAATGGCTATTCATGAAACATGATCAGCTTCTCAAAGCAACCAGGAGCTGCTGTCTATCTGATCCTGAGCCAGCTGCAAGCAGGCAGCCCAAATCCCACCTGTGTGATGACTAAGCAGCTGGAGCAGAGCAGGAACAGCTCCTCACCTCCTGGCCAGCAGGGCGCTCATTTCTTCCATCAACCCACTGCCTCCCAAGGGAAGGGGTCCATTTCCACGGCCACCGTCTGTTTTGGATGAAGCAGAGCCTCCTCCTCCTCCACTCGAACTGGAGGAGTCTTCACCCTTCAGAGTGCACAAAAAGAGAGCAGATGTGCCAACAGAATGAGAGCTGACTTCGTGAAACCAGCAAAGTTCACGTGCAAGAAAGACACAACTGCATAAAGAATGGCATGGGCTGGCAGCACGTCCTGTAACGCTTTTTTCTTAATGAATTAAGCCTCCCCCAAATGTCTTGCTACTGCTATTAACCTTGAACAAAGTTTAGAGCCAGGGACAGGAATCGGAAAAAGAAACCAGAGTTATATTTACCCGTGAGACTTTCCTAAGTTTGGCTCCAGCAAGTGCAGCTGCTAGTCCAGTTAAAGGGCGATTATCTTCGGACACGAAGCCCGCAGAGAAGCCCGAGGCTGGCAGGGGGGGAGCAGGAGGGGGCAGGGGAACGGGAGGAACTTGGCTGGGCAGCGGAGGAGGCGGCGGTGGCGGCGGCGGCGGCCCCGAAGGTGGGAGCGGAGGAGGTGGTGGGGGGCCAGGAGGAGGTGGCGCTGCCACTGAAGACTGAGCTGGGCCGGGTGGCAGGGGAGGTGGAGGAGGAGGTGCAGGTGGTCCTTGGACAACACCTAGTGTCAGAGTGAAAACAAACAGAAGACATTAAGGATTTAAAAAACAAAAGGTCTTACTTTCATTGAAATGATGGTTCTTTTGCTCAGTGTATGAGACATTAAAACTGGTAAGATACTGGGCAAGAAAACACTGAATTTCAGCAGGAGAGAAGCATTCTTATTCAATGTCCTAAAAACCACGACACAGTATGCTGTGAGAGATCAGACAGTTCCAGAGACATTTACATGAAACCCCTCCAGTCAGGTTCTGTGCTGCAACCAAGAACAACCTTACACCAGGAAACAGGCAGAGAGTCAAGTCAGGCATGAGCATCGCAGCAGGAGGAACAATGGGGTGTGCTCACATGGTGCTAAGCAGTATCTCATTGCATTAACAAGCACTAACATCTGAACCCTTGAACTGTTCCAGCGCCAATGCTAATTTCTAAGCTGTATGCAAATCTTTCCTTTAAAACAATTCCAGCAATCAACTTTTATAATTTAATACAAACACTAATTAGTGAGTTAGAAGACTGACATGTCTCAAGCTGATGGGAAGCTCTTCTTCTATTTTTCATCTATCATTCTTTTACTTCTTTAAATTCATATTGTTATCCAAATACAAAGTGTACTATGAAAAAAGAATATTCTGATGATCACTCTATTATTATTATTCTTGTAAGAGGAAGAGTTCAAGAAATTTTGAATTAGACAACAGCTCCACACCTCCACAGAACCTACCTCTGTCTCACTCAAACTGCCATAAGGCAGGAAAAATGCTGCACAACTACCTTAATCTCTAAAGGCAGGAATTTCACATACGAGTCTTCCTGCTTTTCTACTCTGCTAACCACTGCAGAAATTCAGAAGCCTGTTAAACCCTCTTGGCATCACTCACTGTACAAGTGCACACTTCTATTCCATACTAGGAGTGAGGCCACTCACTCTATTTCCACTCCATCCCAACACAGCTCAGACCCTCATTTCAGACAAGAATGTGAACAGGGTCCATTCTGCATGGCTTGTACCAGGCTGCTTCTCCCCTAGGAGCCCCTCTCCCCACACCTTTGGAGCTACTGCAGAGCTCTGTACAAAGCCCTACAGCTACTAAATCAACCTAAATCTGTTAAATCAATATAAAAGCAGATTCAGGTTAACAAAGACACGTACCACCATGTAAAATGCATTTCTATCATATTGGCGGAGTGTTCATTAAGATAGTCACCTGCTTAATCAAACTTTTTGTCCAAAGTTGTCTTAGCTACACTGGTAAAATACTGCTGAAAGACCTGTCTCTCTCCATCTAAATACACACATATGTATGTGCACACAGCCATGTATCAAAATACAAGCACTGGCCAGATAGAAATGCTGTAGGTGTCACACACTGCTTTCTAAATTTGAATTATTCCTCACTGAAGGTCATTTACATGTCCAAAGCCACACATATGCTCTTCTGTGTTGGCTGCCATTAGGAAACTGATGATCCTACCTGGTAACACCACTTTCCAAAGAAACCAACAGTGCAGGGTTTACCAAGCAAGAATTTGACAAACTCTGTTCTCAACAGGTCAGTTCTTAAGAAAACAGCATTTTACTATGACAGGCCACAGAACATCGTCTCCTAGGCGCAGAGCTTTTCCATTTCCCTTACCCCAGTTTTCCAAAGGGTGTTTGGCATTAGAATCGCTGGAGCTTTGGAAGCACTGTGTTACTTCCTGGGGGCAGTCAGGGGCTTTGGCAGCCACGGGCTCTGCCCTGCTTAGCGCATTAGTAGCAATAACAGAAAGCCTTACCCTGCTGGGTCGGAGCTTCAACCGGCTGAGAGGCTGCCTGCAAGACTGGCTCAGAAGCAGAGGAGTCTCCCAGCACAGAGTTTAGAGAGTTCTCAACAGAGGCAGGGGTAGCTGCAGAGGGAGAAGGGAGAACACTAGGCTTGGATGAGGGAGTCGAGGCATTCGGGGAGTTGGGAGAAGGAGAAGCTTGAGGTCCAGAGAGTGACAGAGGTGGAAAGGAAGGCAGTGGGGGGGGAGGAGGTGGCGGAGGCGGCGTTGGACCTGAGGTAGAAGGTGAAGGAACCGGATAAGCCAGGTTTTCAGGAAGCCCGTTAGGAGCCGTGGGAGACGTGGACATTTGGGTCACCGCATTGGAAGCCGACACTGGGAGGACAGGTCTTGGGCCGGTAGCTTTGCCTGGTGGGCTGCTTATCATTACTGGAGGAGACGGGGGCAGGGGGGCGAAACTGGGCACGGACCAGGCGGCGGGCTTTGTGCTGGGAGGCAAAGTGGCCGCGGCACTGACGGGAGAAGGGGGCCGAGAACTTTTGTTCAGCGGACGAGGAACCGTAGCGTAATGGGGGAGAACGGGGTGGAAAGCTGAGCCTAAGGATGTAGCAAAACGTGATGCAGAGTGCCTTAGAGGCGGTGTAGGGGGAGTGGAAGTCGGTGGTGCAGAAGTCACTACAGCGTACTCCGGTGTGGCCTCTGCCATTGGCGCTGACACTGCTTTTGCATATGATGGAGGAGGTGCTGAAGGAGGCTGGCAACTGGAGTATTCAGGAAGTGGAGTGCTATACGGGGAGTTGTCGAAAGATGGAGCTGGACAGAAGATGGAAAGCAGCAGCAAAGGCAGGATAAAAAAAGGAGAAAGAGAAAAAGGGAGCTAATGAAGCAACAAAACCAGCATTCAAACAAAACGTAAAAATGTAGACTACAGTTAGTACCAGAGGATTAGGCACAAGTGAAAATACTGTTAGGAAAGTTTTACGTATTACCAACAGCTGCTCTTAAATTTTATCAACTCTTTTTGTGCCAACATTTGAATATACAAGTACGTTCTAGAGAACGTATCTCATCTGTGAGATGGATGAGATATAGGGTTGAGCAATCAGTCTTTTACCAGCTTTAATCTTCTTGTTTGGTTGCAAACTGCAAGCAAATGTACTGATCTCAACGATTGTTTCAACTCCACTAATAAAGCTCTTACCATAGGCAGCAAGTGTCATCTCTATTCCCCAGAAAAAGCTCCATAGCAAATATTCAAAGTACTGGAAATAAAACTACCAATAAAATCCTCTGCTCTAAAATGACTTACACAATATTCCTTGACTTTCACCATGAGCTGACTTATGTAAATTGAGTTTGAGACTGAAGAACAACCAAACACTTGACTAATGTTCCATTATATTACCAAAATGAGAAAGCTTTCAGTTATCACTGGATACATTTCCGCAGGCAGTGCATTATCTTATCTACAAACACATACAACACATTTCACTGAAATGTTACTACAACGATAGATTAAGCAAGACTTCAGACTGAAAAGCATTTCTCACACTATTACTTTACTTTATATAGGAACATACCTTCTGTGTTAACACACTCAACCTGATACCTTTTAGGAGTTTTTTCCAACTTATGTAATGACAATACATTGTTGAATAGAGCAAACAATGATAAGGTATTTAGAAAATTTAACTCATCACACTTTAACCAATGTTGGACGTGCCCAAAATTATTCAAGCTCTTCCATGCAATCAGAGAGTACGGCAAAGGAGTGAGCAAATAGTGCAAAAAAATTTATTTCAGAATTACCGGAAAATTATGACAGGAAAGTCAAAAGCTCTTGGACTTCTTGCCATAAAAAAAGGGAAGGAATTCCAGCAAAATGAAGCCTGAAATACTGACTGTTGCTACACAGCTGTACTCACTGCCATTTGTTGGTTCTCTCACACTCCATCACCCAAACACATAAAGAGCAGTCTGGTGGTAGAACACGCTCGGGTTTTGAAATTCTTACCAGCATTTGAAATTCTTCTCTCTCTTTCCCATTCCAACTGTTCCCTTTCCAACTGTTCTTGCCGTTCTCTTTCTTGCCTCTCCCGTTCCAGTCGTTCCAGTCTCTCCCGGTCCTGCCTCTCCTTCTCTTGTCTCTCCCTTTCTAGGCGCTCTTGCCGCTCCCTTTCTTGCCGTTCTCTCTCCAGCTGCTCCTGCTCCAGGCGCTCTCTTTCCAGTCTTTCCCTTTCTAGCCTCTCTCTCTCCAGCCTCTCCCGTTCCATCCGTTCACGATCCAGCCTCTCCCGTTCCAGCTCCTTCTGCCTCTGTTGCTCTTGCAACTGCCTGCAATCGTGAAAAAAGGAAAGAGACTAAGCTGCAAAGCGAAAACCAAAAGTATCAAGCAACTGTTAAAAGGACAAGGAGGTAAACTAATCAACAATCCTGGCAGCAGCGAGAACAGAAGCACAGCATTTGTACCTACATGGAAGTCTTAATTCTAACATGACATTTTTCTGAGCTGGATAATAGTTTTATTATGTTTACAGTAAAAAGAATCACATATCTGATTTCCTCTTAACTAATTGAACATTCTGAGAGACAGCCTTCAAGAGGTAAGAATAGAAAGCTGATGCTGCTAATTTACTAACTGATACAATCTCCCCAGTTTGGGATATGGAGTTACATTTGTTCTTTGCACGGTATTTTATACCCAAATCAGTGAATAGAAGTACAGTGAAACAGTAGCAACATAAATACTCATTAAAAAAAGAAACACCCCCAAATAAATTATGGTTTTTGGATTAACTAGTCAGGTAGAATTTATCCAGATTTTACAGAAGTATCCAAATGCACGTGTCCATCCCCACTTGCATAGTAACACAAACACACAGCTGAACTGGCAACAACACGAGAACACCCTGAAGGCACAGGAAAACTGGACATGGTCAAAAAAAATCCAGGGTGCAGCAGCCAAGGAAACACTGCAGGGAGCTGGCAGGGCTTCCAGCTCATGGGAGTCTTTGCAAAGCAAAGCAGAGAGGGAGAAGACATGAAGAGGAGGAAAACAAGTAAAAGGCAGGCAGTGGAAATATCCCAAGGGTAAGAAGAAACCTTGCAAAACTCTCTGCCAAAGCCACTGGGTTGGCTGAAAGGACTTTCCTGAAAAAAGAATACAGGAAAAAGCTACACACCACCTTTTTGATCCTTTATTCTCAACTTGTTTTACATTTTCTTTAGGGTTTTTGGGGGCTTTTTAAAAGATATTTCTTCCTAGTTGGTTAGAATACAGCTTTTTGATTTTCAAAGCTTTTTCATCTCTTGGGAATAACTCCCTGCTGAAACAAAAATTAGGCAGACCCTCCTCCCAGCTGTGACCAGTATGTTCCTGTTAGTACATAACACTGAAAATGTTGCTAGTTGATGTTCTCTATTTGAACATTTCTATTTGAATTCTTGTTTCAAAAAAAAAAAAAAATCGTAAGAGTTAGAAAGAAAACATTGTCTATAAAGCAGAGTCATTTTTTCTGCCACGTTTCAGATGCAAACTGATGAGAGCTTCTCAACAAACACAAAGCACAGCCAGCTCTTGACTAGAAAGTGGGAGGAGACCTGAATTTTGACACCTCAGGCTACCAGATGTGCATTTTCTATGCTATGCCACAGGGCAATTCAATTTGGACAGTCATTGGCAATACTATGCTGTATATCTAGAGTCATAAGGATTGAATTCTGAAAAGGAAGGCAACTTCAGCTGTTTCACTCCTCTTCATGCCTAGAAAATACCAGCATAACTGCAACCTCTAGCCCATGAACTATTGCTATTGAAGTCCATCCAATTTTCAGACCAATGTTTTTCTTTTACAAACAAACAAAAATTATAAATATTGACATTTCATAACTTCTATAACCAAGTAAGTTCCAGTTATGCACAACAAAAGGACCTTTTTCACTATATAACTCATTACCCATCAGAAGCAAAAAACCAGTTCTGCTCCTTGACCATTTTTTCCCTCAGCCATACAACAAAGCTGTAAGACCAGTCACCATGAAATTAGAGCTGCAACTCAGCTTGTTAAATGACTGATTTTTAGCCTCTGAAGTCCACTAAAAAGTCTGGTGATTGACCCATGCACATTTGGATCCAGTAGAGGAGTTCTATAAATGTTAAGAGAATAAAATTTTTTTTCCATAAAGGAGAGGTGGATGCACATGTTTGTATCTACAAGGCTATTCAGAGCAGAAGATAACACTGACAGACTCCAAAGCAGCTTTGCTTATTTTCATCACTCTTTTGCATTCATTTGCCAGAAATGAGCATTATTCTACCTAGAAATGTACACTCTGTTCATCTTAAACCTAAAATGTAGATATGGCATTCCAGAACATAAACATTCCACGCTATATCTAGTTTATAATACTGGAAGATATCAATTCCCTGGGTTTAACAACACATCAAGCAACTGCCAGGAAATTTCTTTTGCTTAAGTTCTTCATTTCTTTACAGAAATAGAAGCTCAATATAGGTCACTCCTCACACAAGGGCAGCATTGCCAAGGCTGTTTTGCAGTAAAGCCATACCAAGAGCTCTGCCATTCCATATTTCCATAAGCAACCTGGAAAAGAATCAGCGAGGTGCTTGCCATAAAGCTCCTTAATAATATTCAGTTATTTAGGGTAGCAAGGACAATGGCTGATTCTGAAGTATTACTGATGGATCTTCTAATTCCAACCAATCTGGGAATAAAATTGGCAAATAAAACTCAACTGAAGTGAAGCAGGGCAGAGAGAGGGAAATATCTGCTAAATGAATTTACAAAGCACTGGACTTTGAGTTGCCTATGGACTCAGGAGTGAGATATTAGGGTTACAGCAACATCCATTCATTAATGTGTCCTGTTCAAAAACCTCAACTAGATGCTACACATCAAAAAAGGATTACAGAACAGTACAGAAATTGCACCATCCTGCTTTACAATCCCTGTATCCCTGCTCCCACCTCAAAACAGGGAGAACAGCAGAACTGAAAAGATTCAAAGAGCAGCAGAAAACTGTTATCAAATGTACCCAACACTTTCCATTTAAAAATAGTTTAGAAAGCTGTAATTCTGCCTTCTGGGAAAGACAACTGGAGCTGTAGGGAATCCTGAGTGATGAGGACACCCCTTCACAACAGCTGGGAGGAAAGATTTGATGCAAATAACGAGAGCAAAGCTCAAAAGAAAAGAGCACCTCTGCACATCAGGCAGATAAGCTCTGGAACTCCTTCCAGAGTGATTCAAAGAGTAAGAAAAAGCCTACAGGGGAAAAACAACTCCAACCATGGGAAATAATTTAGAAAACAAATTCCATCATGCAGAAGCTGTTGAACCAAGGGATGCCCAGAAGATGGGAAAGCAGCAGAGGGAAGTATTCCAGATGCTTGGCCTGGCCCAGAAAGGTTTGTGTCATAACAAAATGCATCTAAGTGTTTAAACTTTGTCTGAAGCAAAAATGATTTAAATTGGCAATGAATACTATCAAATTTTATTGGCTAAGTAAAACCTAGATGAAAGACAATGAGATAACCACTTTTATCCACATAGGACCTGAATAACAAAGTACTCGTTATTAAGTAAATATTGAGTATTTAACTTCTTTTTATTTAAAAGAAACCCCATTTTCCATTTCTTCAGAAAATATAAGGAATAAAAGCAGAACAAAGCTGTTTGCCAGGAACAAAGTTAAGCACTTTGCTTACAATACAAATACACTACCAAGAGAGGGCAGCAAAATACCTTACAAGCATATCTTACACATGTGAGATTAAATACACCATTGTTGAGAATAATTTCTCATTGTATCTCACCGAAGCATCCCTTTGTCAACAAAGGGAAAAAAAAGCCAAAACAACAAGCAAACAAACAAACAAAAAAACCCAACCAAAGAAACCACACTTCACAACTCACTACATTTCTACTGTCATTTTACCAAGTTTAATAAACCTTTTGAATAGCAAACCACAAGGTGCACAGGTCAGATGATCAGTATGCCAGTAATTCAATCAAGTTGCTTTAACACAACTTAATAAGCAAGGAAGAATTCCATAAACTACACATTAGATTTCAGCAAGTGTTACAGCTGTAGCTAAAAAAAGATTAAAACTACATTTGATTACTCCAAAAAAAAAGCATTAAATCCCTCTGGTTTTGTTTAGCTAGCCTTAAATAGTATAAGTTTATTTTAAAATTTTGTCACAGATCACAATTATATTAGACAAAAACATTAGTAGATTAAGGAGAGTCATCACACATCAATTAAAGTACATCTGAATGTCAAGACTGGTAGTTCAAGAACCCTGTGAAAGCAATACCTGAAAATCCTTCAGTCTTAGGAAAGCACATCTGGCCACCAGGACAACTTTTGAAAAAGCTAAAGAGTTACTGAAAATGTCCCAGAAAGCTGTCTTGTAGTGAAATGCTCGTTATGCAAAGACAATGTGATTATTCTAACTATTTTACAAGTGTGACTTATTAAATCTAAGAGCTAATTTACATTAAATAACTGAGCCTGCTGTACATGTCAGTCACACACAAGGTACTGTTACTCATGTTTAGATTCAGAGTCACCTTCAGAATCTCAGAATAGCTGCTAGCTTTATCACAGGGACTATTCATGACACTTTCTTTGTGGATTTTAATTAGCTTCATGTCAAAAGCATTTTGGGAAACTTCACTTTAGGGTGTTTTGGGGGAGGCTCGTTTTGTTGTTTTCTTTTTTTTGTGGTGCTGTTTTGAATTAGCTTATTTTAATACTGCATCAGCTTTTAAAATTATTTCCCCTCTTGCCCTTATACTTTTGTCCAGTTAAGGAGATACTAGGAGATACCATCTGAGGATAAAGAAAGAATCACATTTACAATGCTAACTTGTGACTTAATATGAGCATTAATCCTGCAGTTCTTTGGGCAGCCAAGCAGCAGGAGCATGACTACATTCTTGAAATAGCACATGGAGGAAAAAAAAAATTCAATGAGCAGAATTAAGCACACACCGTTGCATCCCTGCTGAAGAAAATCCCCCCACATTCTGTAATGGTGCAAGTGTTTAGAATTTCTCCTACATGACAACTGCAAAACAGAATTGCAGTTAATTTACTCACCCAGGTACACACAGATACTTCCTGGCTTGCTCTTGATCATAAAAAGGAATAATAATTAAGAAGTCCTGCTGTCTCAGCTCCTGTTATTATATGAAATGAGCCAACACCACATGCACACTGAGATCACTTTCCATTTAGCAAGTAGCACCACTTCATTCAAAACCCAGTGTGTGTGATAGCTTCCTAGTTACCCATCCCAAATTAAT